CTTTTTACTCCGCTAGCTACGGTTCGATGTTCTCAATACGTTGATTTATTTCGCATTTCGCTATGATTCATTCAATATATATTTCAAAGGAATGTAGGTGGAAACACACCTGCAAGCTTTTCATTGGTAAGTGTTTTTATACTGAATTAAAACATTCAATTCCTAAAAATGTTGTTCATTTTATAAACTTTTCCTTTATACGAGAATTAAATGTTTTGATTTTGAAGAGAAAATATCATTACATTAATTGAATGTTAGTTATATATATTTTGTATTGTCTACAAATTAATAACTATTTCAGATGTTGTTTGATTCAGAGGCTGGAAACATCGAAAACCAATTAAGATCGGCAAACATTTTGACGCATGATTTACGAACATCGACCATAATATCATAACTGTATAACAGTTTCCTGCGTTTACACGTTCATGCTGATTATTTCATTTCTAGCTAACCGTGGCACTATGAATTAGTATCGGTTTTGGTTTGTGTCAAACATTATTTCAAATGAATATATATGGTAAAGTTTAAATGCTATTAGTTTAGTACAAAATGAGATTTTCTTTAGATCCACGCCTTTTAAGGTGGACTTTAAAAATATAGCTTTCAAATAAACGAATGAATTTGAATAAAGCCAACTAATTGTTAGGTAATCATAGATGATGAAAATATTGGGGTATTTAAGTATTAGTCTAACAGAAAATTTTGTTAAATTATAGTTTCAAAGTAAACAAGTAATAGGAATAAATCATCTATTAACATTTTAATTATTAGTGAATAACCTAATTTCGTATGTAGGTTTAGGTACACATTATTAATAACAAAACTCTTAGCTGTGGTTTATGACTGACTCCCTTTGAAATGCTTTTAATGACGCACCAGAAACACACGCCAATGTAATTGATGTTGTGAATGTAACAGATTTTATTCCAAATAGGTTTTGAATATTGTGTTTTGAGTCCAAAAATCGTAAAGTTAAGTGGCGGCATAGCAAAAGTTTATGTTTTTAAAATGACTCCAAAACTTACGAGTAAAAGTATTTTTACAAAACCAACAGTTAATTTTAACAAGTTTGGTAATATTACTATATAATAGCTCTTGGATATATTTGATTCATAAAGGATATTTTTAAACAAAGAGGGTACTAATTATATAATCATTGGTTTTTATACATTTGTCAGAGAAAAATAATTCTAGAGTTGTCGTAGAAATGCTATATATATTAAGGATGTCGATTTAAATTACAAAACTGTTTATAAAATCAAAACCAAAGGAAAGTTGAAATTACGTAAAGATGCAACAATGATACTGAAAATAATGATACCAATATTTGTACATATAAGGTTTGGAACTGTGAATATGAAATGTTGAGATTTTGCTCTTATTTTAATATCTATATTATTCTTTTAACATCCAGAGCCCTCTTACGTTATGAATATGCTTCTTTTTATTATTGTCGTCTTTACTTGGTAAATCGTTTAGTATAAGGATGAATGTTAGTAAATAATTATTTTCATTTTAAATTTATATGTCATGATATATAGTTATTAAATCTTTGACATTAGAATGTCGAATAAAAACTGACTATTATATTATTTATTGCTTATGAATTGAGTCGCATATTACAGGCACAGAAAACAAGCCATCAAATTTCAATTCTCACTTCATGGCTAAGTAAATTTTGGTGTATTTGTGGAAATTTTGTCTTTTAGCGAACTACTATAGTTAAATGTAAACTGTGATCTCTTGGATAGTAGTATGACATCCTTTGATCAGACAGTCATAATAAACAATATGTATTTCTGGCGTTTATAGTGAATATTTTGTCTGGCTACTGTTTACTGTAATTAAAAGTGGACCACTTTAAACTAGCTTATGTGGTGTTTGTTTCAGTATATTCACGTAATTATAATCGTAATCAACCCAATTATTTTAGGATTATCTATTTGCTGAAACTTGACGATAAAACTATGCTTATTTTTCATACAATCATTAAATTTAATTATAATAAGGCCTCTTTGTACTCCTGAATTCTATTTCAAACACATTATTGCAGTTAAGTCTTTGTTTGGTTGTTTATTATAAAGATTTTGTAGGTACCAAACGAATGGTTCTGTTTATCATAGTGTCGTCGAGAAGTCAAGGAAGCTTTGGGTTGGTTCATACTTTTAAACAGTATTATCCTTATATTGATTTGAAGTAACAATCTTCCCCAAAAATTAAAAGTTAGTTAGTTAAATGTACTGAATTATGTACAAACTCATAGAAATTATAAAGCTGGTACAACTGTCTTCATTCCGTTAAATAATATAAAATTTTTAAGATCTATTTTAATTTTAACTTTCTATGACTTTAATAAACATACGTAAAAATGTTTGAAGATTATGAAATCAAGACACACTTTTAAGACTATCCGTTTATAAAATATATTTTTTTATAAATAAAACAAAATGTTGTTTGTAATCTACTGTCATTTTAGTTATGACATGTGTAATGTATGTGTTATAAGGTCATACGTATATTCTACGCATCGACATATACTAATAGACATGCCTTAGAGATGAGAATTGTGGCACTCCGAAAGAGAGCGAACTAAGTTTCGGTCTATCTTTATCCCTCTCAAAATAGTACCGTACTTAAGACGTTATGAGCCCGAAAGCATAGGCTATCTCTGTCACTTTTTTCAAACCAAAAAATTACTCCAGATTATACGCGTACGGCATGTCCATTATATGTCGATGATTCTATGATTCCAGTGCAAATGAAGCCAAAGCTTAAAAAAGGTCATATGTGTATTTGTTATGGGCATGGATATACATTCTTTAATATAAAAGAAAGTTTAATTATACATAAACACAATTTGTTGTTTAAGATCTTTTCTATGAGATAATAATTAAATGCTACAAAAATGAAGCTGTGAACAGTAGAATTAGAATTATATGGGATCGTGATTTTTTCAAAAAAGTGTAAGGTCAAGATTTCATATGTCTCTGTTGAAACCTCAAAGTAACTGAAATAGGTTTTTTATTTAGAACTTTTATACTTTTTTTTACATTGCTGCATGGTTAATGATTCCTGAGTTGAGTCTACACAAAGCATTATAAAAAGCTCTCCCATCTTTGACCTTTATATTATCAATACCTGGTTATATTATTAATATCTGGTTATTTAAGACGGAATAGAGTTTGCCCGATCATTAGTAATATATGATACATACATATATTACTAATGACGAAATTAACGCAGACGAAGTCGCGGACAAAAACTAGCCTTTTCTAAATTTTCACGATGAAGAGTAGTTTTTTTTATTAATCTTAACGCAAGGACCTCTTTCATATATTCTACGTGTATCTAAAAGTTATACATGAAAATTTAGTTTCAAACAATCAGCAGCTTGTCGTGTTTCCTATAAATTATTTTATCAGCTACATATATAGGGGAGAGTTGGTTATATCGTACTAGCATTTAAATCGTACCACTTCTAAATTTCCCATTTAATGAATATTTTTTTCTACACTGACAACGCCAAATCGTGGCCCTGCACCATCCCTCTTCACCCACTAGTTTAAATCGACGTGAGTTAACAACTGTGCAAGTAATAAAAGAAAAACATTTTTTGTAGGAATTAATATAAATATTGTCGTACATTCGTAAGGAGATAACTCGTAATCAAGGTAAGCTATAATTATTCAGTTTTTTTTATTATTACACAATTGTATACTAGATTATTGGGTGTTTTTGTTGCGTGTCTAAGTTTTGAGTTTATGCCGGATATTTGCTTTTGTTTTAGAAATGCCTTAGTTGGTTTAATCGTACCACTTGCAGTTGGTTAAATTGTACTGGTACGATTTACCCGACTACCCACAGCAAGTACCTATAGTACTACCGCAAGTACCTATAGTAAGTACTACCCAAGGCCAAGAACAAAAGTTATAAGAGGAAACGATCTCATTCCATCATCAGTAGCGATGATTCAGGAGAGACACTTGTTGTAGAACTAGATGATGATGATGACAGCGATGATTATCTTGAAAATATATGTCGAACGTGCAATTGTTCTTACTACGATAAGAAGGGTCTAAAAGTTGATTGGATTCAATGCGTTCGCTGTAAACGGTGGCTACATGACACATGTACCTACTTCGAATCCAGACATTTGTCATGATTGTTTCCATTAAGAAATATGCACAATAATTATATTACAAATAACATTCTTGTTAACTGTTACTTTGTTATTATAGTTTACTGTTTCCTTTTGTCTCATTTTTATTAGTTATGTTGATTGATCTCATTATCATAGTATAATCATGTTATTTTACTGAGAAAGCTTATAGTTCCTTTATATAACCTAAGAGTTAAAAATTATGTTTCTATTACCTAAAAGATATAAATAATGTTGTTTTATTACTTACCTAACAGTTAAAAATAAATGATTTGATTGAGACTTTTAATGTCTTTCATTCAGTGGTACGACTTAAACACCCACGGTACGATTTAAAGACTTAGTGGTACGATTAAAACGACGAGTCGGCTAAATCGTACCGATGGCAAGCCTCTATAAAAAAGCATTTTTAACAATGTTAGAATAATCGCAAGGATCTGTTCTCTTCTTCTTAGGAAGCTAAAATATGAAACGTTATTTTACATATGTATTAATTATTATAAGACGTGTTATAGTCGAAATATTTGAGTTAAAGTGAAAAGTGGTACGATATATCCGACTCTCCCCTACTAATATGACCAAAAATCGATACTTACAACTGATATATTTTTCTTAATCACGATCAGTCACAAAAGGAATGAGAATAAAAATCGAAGATTATATGGAGAGGTAGTTAACGATTTATTGCTTTATAATATCAAACACCATGTACATATAAACTTATTACTAACATTACACTTCATGTATTTACAAATAATTTTATAAACATTTCAATGATTTAACGCTTAAGAAAATACAATTATATTTGATTTACCATCGTCGTTCCATCAAGGCATATTTACTTGTTGACTTTTTTATGTAGGAAGTATATGACAATAGTTCCCGTGATTAAGGCACTTCCCCTGTGAACAAAATAATATATTAGTTATTTTTAACTAAATAAATATATTAAGTAATTAGTTAAACTAACCAAATAGTGAGGCGACCCGTTGGCGAGTGTCTGAAAGGCTTGAACGGAGTTATCCTATAATCCTCGTGGTGATTGAAATGTCGTAATAACTTGTTGGCCCTGGAAATAATTTTAAGTAGAATTAAGAATAACTAGTGAAAATTTTTAGAGATAATTATTCCGCTTTTGAAATAAAGCAGTCCTATGTTATCAGGTACATAGTTATTAGCTCAGTTAATTGTATTAAATAACATATGTTGTAGTGGAACGTAGATTTCTCAACCCTGTATATGGGCTTATGAAAAAAAGGATTTCAATTTAATGTATTTATTTGCTTTGAAAGTTTTGAGTTAAAAGTAATAGCAGGAATTAAGTTGTATTTAACAGATACTCAAATACGAGTAACTGCCTATTGACCGTAGATGGGCCCTACCAAAACATAATTCTTTGAAAATTCGTTAGGCACAATCAAATCAAATTTCAAGTTTAATGTAATGTAATGATTTTTTATTTATGCTTACGTGTTGTGTGTTCCAGCCGCTATCAAAGCGGTTCTTGCTCCGTAAGGCTTTATATCTAAAGCACCGAAACCAGATAGTAGAGATGATACCTGTGAAATTTGAATATTAATGAAATGATAACTAGGAAGTTCTAGACTAAAATATAGTAAAGAAATTCTAATCATAGAATTTAGGTCTGAGTTACTAAATATAAGGGTTGAATGATGTATAATTAAGAGACCTTTTATTATATAACCCATTGACAATATGTCAACGACTTGTCACTAAAGTTTTAGGATTAAATTACTATTGTTTGTGAGTAACAAATTCACGGTTTCATTTAAATTTTCCATTCATGGAATTATTACATTTATTTATCCTACATAGTAAAAATATTTGACCAAAAAAAAATAATTCTACAGCTGTTAATTTAATACTGACAACGACAGATTGTTATTAATCGGACACATCGGATTGCACAGATTATATAATATTTGCAATGAAAGCAATGCCATAATAAGTACTAAATATAATCATCCAAAGCCGTCCCGACGACATTGCGACATCGCCACCGATTTATTTATATCGTAACCTTAAATCAACCTTGGCAGACGAGTAATAAATTACGTTCAGCATTCAAAAGAAAAAGATAGCGTTATTTAAAGAAAAAAAAATCCAACTAAAATATGCTCGCAACTGTGACACTTGGGTATTATCAATCTGTTTTAACTAGCAATGAGGTGTACGTATGAGCACGCACACGACATGCAAGATGCGTGCGTGTACGTAAAAATGTATACACATTAATAAGTTTTTTTGGTTGTGTGTGTGTGTATGTGAGTGTATTCCGGCGTAATGCCAAATAGACACGGTGTTAATCCGTGTCGTCAACACAACATGGTCTTCTAACTAATTCAACACTGAGTACGCTGATGGAAAACTGATTATGTGGCAGATGTTGCAACCATAATAGCTATAGGCAATTCCGGCTGTGTGTAGTGTTCAGATATGTATATGATTATGTCTTTGTCATGTGTCAACAAAACTATTTTGTATCTTCAAGGTCGTCCGAGCTTTCCCGGGAGTTTATATATAGATGATCCATTGTGTTACCTGGCTCATACATATTGTTGATTCCTTCAAAGACCTAATGTGCAGTAGCTCTGGTCTGTGGCTTGGTGGGTCTTCGTCAACAAGATTCTAAAACGGAAATGACAAAAAATTACGGAAGACTTTCATGATATATTAATAGCAATTATATATAGTTGGCTAACTAACTAACTCTAATCCGGGACTTTACTTATGAAAGATATAGTAAATATTACATTTTATTTGTCAGCCAGAAAACTGTCTATTTTAACGGATTCCGTGACCGTTACTCCGCTACGTTATTACGTCCAGAATGTAATAAAATAAAAATAGTTTTGCGTTCGGACACTTTTAAATAGACAGGTTCAAAGACCTTTAATAGCTAATAACGATTTTTATTAACATTTATGAGATATTTAATGAGTTCAAACATTATATGATTATTTTTAGTTATTATGAGTATCTGATCGAAATATATAAGTTTGATAGTTGTGGGAAGAAAATATAATAGTTTAATATATGCTTAGTTATCATTCGACTTGTAATTAGATTCGACTGTTATTAGGAAATTATTAACATATTTTGTTATCCGAAACTAGTGATCTAGGCTTATAAAAAATTATAATTTGTTGTATGGAATATATTTAAAGACAGATCATATTCCTTTCTAACATTGAATGACAAAGCAGAAGAATTACATCTTTTATGTATTACACACTTCTGTGACAGAATACATTATGCATACTATGCAATACATCACATAGAATAAGATTACCAATAATATGGATCGAATAAACACCACTATACGGGGTGATTGGTGAATTACTATCAATATTTAAGGAGAATACTTGGTACATGATTCTCATTCGAATTATGTAAAAAAAATAGGTACTTAATTTTTGACCAAATTTCCGTATAAATAAATAAAGTGTGGACACGTTCCAAGTGTTCCAAGTGTGGACGCGTGCGGCGGCGTGCTGATACAACACCACGCCGCCGACGCGCGTGTGTGTATGTGTGTGTGTACCTAATCTGTAGGGTGTTCACACGATGCGTAATTAATTACATAACTTTTGGTTAACTACTTTACTTAGAAGTTTATTAATATTTAAGTTATATTAATTTTTATTTTGTCATATATGATCGTCAAATATCACGTCCTCAAGTATCGATAGTAATTCACCAGTCACCCTGTATATCTATTTACTATGTACCTCATAAACTATAAAAAAATTAACTTATATTATGTAATTATTATTAATTTCTCTAATCTTTAGATAATATAAAAGAAATTTGTTAATCTGTCCTATTGCGATATATATTTTTTTATTATCTGTGGTGCAAAAAAATGAATAATTACTATGAATCCTCACCATATAAGATACAGCGGATCGTATGACGTTGACCTTGTTGCAGTAAGATGAAAGAGATGAGATTATTTCATTGGGGGATGCTGGGCGAGCTGTACCGCGGTGATCTGTGGACGACCACTCGCCCAGGCGGATGAAGCAGTAACCTGGAGGATGGTGGGTTTATATATGATATGAACAATTATAACCCAAAGACTTCTTAGAGGATTAATGTTTTATATGAATTTCTTAGAGTAATAATATTTTAACAATGTTATATATCATTAACATTAAAATTATCTAGAAAATTTTAAATGAATATGATATGTAGTAGGCTTTTTGTGCTTAGATAAATCATTGCTGCACCATCTCTAGTGGGAGGAAGTAGCAAGAACAATTTTAACATAGTTGTATAAGTTTTCAATTGTTACTGACAAATTTTTGTATCTATGTTACTTGATTTTTGATTGTATAAATAAAAAATAATTAATATATAATATATAATTAAAAAAATTAATATAAACATGAATTTTGAAATAAAATCTTAGCTGTTAAACTTTTTATTGGAAATGTATGTCTGAAGCTTTGTGTTATATAGTTTTAAAGAAGCATATTTGTATGAAGGTCGTTTGTTCTATGTATTGCACTTTACAAAAATTTAGAGTAAAAGACTTAATACATTAATAAAATTAATTTAGTAGATATTAAAAAAAGGAAGGAGATTGGGCAATTTAATATAGTTCAAACTAGTATTGTTTGTAATACTGGTAGTTTTATATGGAACATAATTAGGTTGATTCTAGTAGCATGGAATTTATATGAGCTGTTGGAGAAATAATAAACCTTTTATAATAATTACCTGAGCAATATGAATCCCAACCAGCCTCGTGATATGATTGTTTCACATCAAATGGAGTATTCAATGTAATATGACTTAAACCCTTCTGCAACCTCTTACATTTACCCTCGTAGAAGAATTCATATAAACTGGAATTGATTTATACACAAAATATATAGTAAAGAAAATCAAACCTTATTTTATTGGCAATAAATTTCAAAATGCCACTTACTCTTGTAAGGCATTAGACTTCCATACTTCATCAAGTGTCAACTTCCTGCCCATTTCATGTGAAATATATTTGGTATCATATATATTAGGAAATAGCTTGTTAATATTCTTTTTAAATGCAGAATAGCTTTTAGGTAATGGACCTATGAATTGGCTGTGTAATAATAATGTATCTAGGAATATATTGTGGCCTATGATTGGTTTCTTGTATTCTGCTAGAAGTTCTATAATTTGGGAGAAACCTAGGACGTAACTCATTAAGTTTCCCTCTAGTGTGTCCATAGAAGCGCTGGTGGCGCCATCTACGTCGCCATTTCTATATATCAGGACCTGAAATTATAATTATTCATATAAATGTGCAATACAACATGCTCATTTTAAAATAAGTCACTGTATAAATAACTTTCTAGGGATACAAAATAGATGATTTATAGATACTCTGCTAAAGATTTCTAACAAAATTTTATATACCCTATAAAAATTCAGGAAACATTGTTCAGGGAGAATTTTACCAAATTAGCTACAGCATTTATTTTACCTTATGACTATTACCTAAGCTATCAGTTGTGAGGACTTCTGAAAAGCGATTCCTCAATTCACAGTGCACTATGTATCTCATTATGGGATTGTCAATATCCAGGTAAAGTGTGCCATCGGTAGTATTTACGAGCCATCTGCAAGTTGTGTTTAATATATTAAGACCTCAATAGACTGATATATGACTGTGAGTAACTACAAGCTAAGTAAAATAAATGTATAAAAGCTTCAGAGTGTGGTTGCTTTAATGTTTGGTAAGTAACATATGATTGAATTTCTCTCAAGCATTATTAAGCAGCATTAAGCTAAATATTTAAACAATTACATTGGCTTAAGCCTTGTTTTATTAACTTAATTTTATTTAAACTACTCACTTAGTAACTTCTGAACAGTAGCTTTGAAGTTTCCTCTCATCACTGATTTCCATATTTTGTATTAAATTATTAAGAAGTGTTTTTTCCTTCAACTGTTTCTTTACATGAGCTTCTTCAGCTTGACTCATATAGGGAAGACCATCATATGTAAACTAGAAAGTATATACACAAAAAATTGGTTTTATGCTAAACATATTATTCCTCTTAATATTATAAATGTTAAAAATATTAGCCATATAAATGTATGTCAGTAGATATTAGGTACAATAATGGTATATACTGATTGGAGCCTCATCGGCCACAACTTACATATTTATATATATCAATATGTTTTACCATAAAATAGCTGACTATACCGTGAAATAGAATCTTATTATGGAAGAACCTAAGGCGGTTTCATGTGAAAATTTTATGTTTAACATAACATGTTTGTTACTCAATATTTATAAGCAATATAGTAATGGAATCCTTTTAGCCCTTAGTATATAGAAACAAAAGCAAAACAACAATCAAAGTAATTATACAGTTGTGCACTCAAAGTATTAGTATTTCAGGGCTTATTGGCATGATTATTATAATGGTTATATTAATTACCTTATTATAATCAAAATTGTGCTGACAAAGAAATCTAATGGCTGATGCTTGGAATGTAAAGGACTGATTGATGTCACCAAACACTTGGGGACAGAGGTGGAATGTGTATGAATGTGAGATATATCTGTCATTATCCCGATCATACTGAAACATTGTAAGACCAACTTGATTCATTATCATCTTACAGACTTCATCCTTAATTCGGTCATATCTCTCTTTATTTGTATCAAACAATCTGAAAAATGAAAAATTTAAAGTTAGGTAACTTTCTTTTGTAGTTTAGATATATTTTTTAAGGTTATAGAAATAATTTTTTTTGTGAGATTTTGTTTTGAATTTTATATAAGGCATTTCTTGATCATCCTATACCTATATTTAAAAGATTCTCCCGATAATATAGCTGTAAATTCTGCATCAAAGCCAATGAAACAAGACTTTTTCAAACATTTGGTTATGCTATCAAATTCTTGATTAAAGTTTTTCCTTGTAATATCCATTATTTCTGCAAAAGAGGTTGAATGTTAGAAATTTATTTGTGTAGTAAATACGAGATTGTATTGTACAAAAGTATTGTTTTTTATTTAATATTTACCGCCGCAAAAATAGACATCAACTTTTTGCAATTCTGAATGACATTTGTCAGGCTGCATTAACTTACGTAGATAACGTTCAAAATTAACAAAGATTATAAAATAGTTAAGTTTTAATTCAGTGTTTATTGGATATTTCTTGAATATATAGAAGACTTGAGTTTTGCTAACAAATATACAGATATTTTTAGGGTCAATTAGAATTTACATAGTTGTAAGCTTTTTAAACACAAAATTAAATCTTGTATTTTTATTTTCTTGTAGGGAATACCTTTTTTCAAATTTAAGAATATTGTTTAAATTGTTGATATAAAATAGCGAAAACGCAACGTAGATATTATACATATATTCGCATTATTCTTTATACATCTAAATTCATATATATTTTTAGATATCATAATTAAGCAGAGATTTAAATCCTCAAAAGATTTTTTTAAAATACGTTTTATAGTTAAATCACAGTTAGTAACAGCTGTACTTCAGGATTATGTTTTTTTTATTTTTCTAGACTTCGTTCTGAAAGAAATTGCTATTGTAGGTATATTAAACCAATGATAGTTACTTTTCATTATTTTATTGGTTATTTAAATTTTTCAAGGCTTCTTATAATTATTATTTATTTATTGCCTGTAAGGATAGTCCTCCTCCCTAAGATATATTAATTGTATGAGTCTCATTACATATTGAAAAGTATTAATTGGTATTTCAAAATCTAAACTTTATATTATTTATAAATTTCGGTGAAAAATTTGCTAAAATAGGAAATGAGCAGCACTCAATAATAATAAACAAGTTTAAAATTTATTGTACTATAACAAAACGACAGGGACAAGTTTATCTAGAAGTAGAAATTGAAAGTGTAAGCACATAAAGAGAGCGAACAAATAATTATAGTTATTAATATTTCAATCATTCATTAATGGCTAGTTTATGTGTAGTGATATAAGAAGGTGGTTGAGTTCTGATTGAAAATATCGGATAGTATGTGCATTAATGGTACATTTAGACACATTATTGGCATATATTTCAGAAAAATGATTTTAAGCCTACATCTTTTTATTTCGTCTCTGTAAATACATAACATACAACTTAAGAGTTTACTTGTCTGATTGCTATGTAATGAAACAACAAAACTTGATTTTAAGTGAAATGTCTAATTATTTGCATATTTATTTATTTATTATATTAAGAGAACGTTTAAGATTTTTCGGAATTAAAATATTATGTTATAAAACTCATAAGTATTCCTAAAAAGTAGGTATCTGATAAAGTCAATACAAGTGAACCTTAACTTTACTAAGTTCAATATAAAAAACAAATAGTTGTAAGTACATTTGGTTACATAAGGCAACGTGTAGAATGGGCCAAGGACGGCAATCGTCAGGCATGGCGAAACCACTACGAAACTAAGGCAAAGTAACTGCCATCTTTATTATGAAACCGTTAACGTGATGCAAAAAGTAACGTGCATTCAATATTTTAATTTTTTTCCGATACCGTACAGAATGGAAATAGAATTTAGGTTAAAGGAACTATACAGCTTTTGGAAATTACATAAAACTATTGTGTAATATACCTACTTAATTTTTAATAAATTAATTTATTCCGCTTCCCATGAATAAACATTGAACACTTCCTGGTGGATTTTAGTATGCTCAATAGGAATTTGTGTCATTGAAGATTTGTACTTTGCATCTGTTAATGTAAATTATATTGAATTTTTAATAAAGGGAAGTCTCAAGAATGATTGGTAAAAAAATAAACTTTTGTTTTTGATTGATTATAGACCTACGATCAAAAGTAGGCCTACAAAGAATATTTCATCGTCAGACATTAATATTTTATATCAGTTACATAAAAGGGTTACATAATATAGAGAGAGTCCAATCTCGGGCTCAGCAATTTACTTCCGAATTGAAGCCATGTCTCGTCAAAGGCTGAAGCTGCATTTTATTATACGCAGTAAACTGTTTCCATTCTTCCAGTCGCCACTTGAAGGTAGACTCGTGTGGTCGCGTATGTCATAAAAAAATATAATTAAAAATAAAATGTCGTAAATGTATCGAATTCATTTCAATCTGTGATATAATAATAATAATTAAATATGGATGTGAAAGAGAAATCGGATCGTAGTGATGTGATAAGGAAGCCCAATTACTTGCTTATGTCCTTGCAAAGGATACTAGTGTTGACTTTTATTATAGCATGTGTGGTTGTTGTTGTTTACTATACACCTATGCCAGGTATTAGCTTTAATTTAACTACTGGTTTGAGATATTATTCTTATATATTGTGTTATATATTTTAAATGTAGTGTATAAAATGACTATAGATGATAATTCATAACACTAATTTCTTTGTAACATTTATTTCAATTATACAAATGCAGTCATGTTGATAAGAATACATGCGTTAGAATAATATAAACATTTAGTATTTATTTCAAAATGTTTATGTTTTTGATATGCATCGGTTATTGTTAACCGACTTTGTGAGAAGGGAATACAATAATATTTTTATAATAAACTGATTCAAGTAACAAACGCCAAATGTCTATGTTATTCATATGTACCTGTTACCTAAATAAAGGTTATAACTTATATTAATTCTCGCCGAATGGAAAATACATTATGAATCTTAATGCGTTGAAGTAATTTTTGACCAATAACGTGGTAAACAAAAAATAAAAGTATGGTCAGTGCATGTAGATCTCCTTGATATTTTTTGCCGTGCTATATTTTTAAAATATTTCCTTGTTTATTGCATTACTGCTTGATATATAAAAAATGCTTCAATTACAGAGGAATATTTCGAAAATTGTGATCGCGAATGTCACGAGCTAGACTGGCCTATGATTTGCAGAGTAAAACTCGTTATAGAGGTGTACAAAACTTTCAGCAAGTGAGTATATGTCTTATGAAGCAAGTCACTGTTTTGTTGTAGACAATATTTTATTCACGATAAAATATATCATTGTTATAGATCTTGCAATAGTTGCGTGGAAAATGGAGGCGAATGTCCTGCGATGTGCATCACAGCTGATGGTAGGGAACGAGGTGTTCTCTCTGCGAACAGAGAATTGCCTGCACCTGCCTTCCATGTATGTCAGAACGATATTCTAGTCGTTGATGTAGTACACCGAGCTCCAGCGCATGCATTATCAATACATTGGAGAGGTCAACCTCAAAAAGAGACGCCTTTTATGGATGGTGCTCCCATGTTAACACAGTGCCCTCAGCCTGCCTATACAACGTTCCAGTATAAATTTCGAGCCTCGGCTGTAGGAACACACATGTACCATGCACATTCAGCAGCTGATGCCGCTGATGGATTGGCTGGAGCGTTTATTGTACGACAGTCACCACGTCTGGATCCTTTAGCAGGTCTCTACGATGTGGATGCAACAGATCATACAATTTTTGTTGCCGAATGGGGTCACTCCATGGGACCACTTGCGGGTGTCACATCAAAAATACCAAACGCAGAATCTTTACTCATTAACGGTAAAGGGAAAACAGATGAATCTCTGAGCGCGCCATTATTTAAGTTTAATGTAGAATATGGCAAACGTTATAGATTCAGATTGGCATACGGCGGTGGATTTAAAAGCTGTCCAATAAACTTTTCCATTGACAAACATGCTATTAAGCTGGTTGCTTTGGATGGTCATATAATTCAAACCGAAACTGTAACATCAATTGAATTAGGAAGAGGAGAGCGAGCCGATTTCATTCTAGACGCTAATCAAGCGATTGGTGTATACAAAATGAGAGTTGTGGCAGATAAATCATGTCAGGATAATTTGGTGGGTGAAGCCGAATTGATATATAAAAATCAGGACAATAAGGTTTTACTTAAGAATGAGGGCAGTGAAGATTCAACAATTAATCGCATATTTTCAACAGTGGCTAGTGATAATTGTGTGAGTGATACTGTTCTGTGCTTGGATGAAATACATGGAGTTGAAAAACTTACTTCGGAACTAGCGGAGCCAGTTGACGAAGTCATTTATGTGCCTTTTAATTACTCAACGCGGCAAATGTCAGCGAGACGTTTCGGTAAGTTTTATGACGTATTTTAAAGCATTGTGAATACATTTTAAAGGTTTTTTGCCGGTTCTGAGACGTTAAGAGCTATTGTTTTATGTGATATCTATATATCAGTAAATGTTTTTGTTCTATTTAAAAATGTCATAACAATAAAACAAGCAACTATTCTCTGTAATATAAAACAAGACTTGAATTAATTTAATTTAAAACTAGTGAAGGTGATTACAAACTAATGCATCATTCCAAAAACGTGTTAATACAGTAAAGTTAAAAATAAAAACTTTAATTGTTACCAGATCACTCGAGCACAAAATTTATGACTGGCCTTTTTTAAATTGATATTCTCAAACCAAAATAAGTTAAGAATTTTATCGTTTTCAAAGCTTTTGGACAGGAATTTTAAACGAAACATTTATTTATTAAACTGGTAGACACCATTATATAATACAATATTTTTTCCTTATTTTGTCTTTCAACGACCGGCTATAAAAAAATAAAAAACAAAACAAGGTAGTATAGAATTCACGTCGAGCAAATTATTTGGTTTCATAATTTGTGCTTCGTTATGTTTATCATGTTTCCAATCATTTAATCTAACGTACAAATCTTTATTATACAGACTGTTGTAAACGTGTTGCTTGTTTGAAATTAAAAATTATATCTATGATTAGAGATTATGAAAATATAATTATTGAGAAGAATATTTTTAAGTTTATCTATTTATGAATTGGACTTTTGAGCCATGTCGTGATATAAATGACAGTGAAAAGCATGGCGGTCTCATTGGAAGTAGTTTGAGATTATCGCGAGAGTTATAACGTTAATATTAAGAAAACGAAAGTGTGTATAGCGTAGGTTATTATCATTCCAGAGTACCGTGATATTAGCGTTCCAGCAACATGATACGTTCCATACTATATTTATAAAACTATTATTATAATTGACAGCTGTCGCTTACGTCATTGTTGCATAAATAATTGTTTTTTCATTACGTGTTACATTTATTATGTAAATATGTAAGCCATGTTCATTAATTATAATTTGTAATTCCTTCTTCGTGTTATTAATTTTTTTAAACATCGTGTTTATATTTGTTTTATGTAGACAAACTTAAATGGTTCTATGACGTAAAAAATGTGATATTTTTAAATATTCTTAAAGCATAATCATAATAATAAGAGACTCTGTAATTTCGAGCGTAACCGCAAGTAATGTTACTTGATTACCCTCCTCAAGCCAGTACCTACTTTTATTTTGTAATGCCCTTACTACAGTGATAGCTGTAATATGTATTCTGCAATGCTATGAAGGACTATTGATGAGGAAAGTAGTACAATGATGAAATGATTAGTCGACTACACATTTCATTAATTTTAATATGATGTTCGTATCGTTAATAAATAAAATACTATTACTTCTTTTAAGGCAAAAAAGTTTATACACGTTTTAAGTTCAGATTTTACACGCTCTGTTCAACAGCCGGTAACAATAGATTTTGGTACTTTTTGTACTAAGTCCATTGACTTTAAACTACGCTTAAGTATTCCGCTTCGGTTGGTGTAGCAATATTGTCTCTATAGCTTATTACATAAAATTTCTCCTTGCAAATGTGAACACTTTGTAAAAATAAACAAATTATGATACAAGAAAAATTTATATTTATAATGCAATATAAAAAGAACCATGTACTTGCAATTAAGGCGATAGCATCTTAACTTACTTTTGACAATCAATTATAATCAATTAACCTTTATTAAGAACGTTATGATAGACACCGCGTATATAAATGTCATACTAAATTGTTATAATTTCGTTCAGACATAGAAGAATCAGTCTTTAAAGATGGGAATACACGATTGATAATGCTCGATAGATAAAATCTTTTACATTGATCACCGAAACCACAATAAACAAACGGGTATTGTAAGTGACTAGTCAAACAAAGGTTCCGAACATATTTCGGGTCATCAATATTCATGTTTGTAATATGTCTCTAGAATATTCACTGCATACAGCGATTAGCGTGTCTTGGATCATTTTGTTTCTGAGCCGTAATTTGAATCTGTAATCAGCGGTATTAGTTGAATCCGCGCGGCGGCCATTAAGCCGTTTGCTCGGTTAAGCAATCAGCGTTGGTAACGTTTGGGATTTACGTCACTTAACTAAAAATAATGCCCAAATACGATCAATACTTCCTCTAAAATATCTTTGTGTAAATAACAGTTAAACTATTATGGAGATAGGTAGTAAAAATCTAATTAATATAGTTTTAAATTTGAGTTAGTTGAGCATTAAACATTAAAAGTTACCTAGTTTCGTATATATGTCTTTAAAGTCTTCATGTGTGTTGAATTTAATTACCTTTGCTTGTATAAATATTAATAAAATATTGTTCTGAGAATGAAAATTAATTTAATTACTAAAATTGGCTTTGCTAGATACTATAACTTGTGAAACATTATTTAATATAAAGTTTAAATTACCTCATTTTCCAATTAGCTTTCACTCCCTCGCATCGATCGATGCTTGAATGAAGACATGTTGTTTTCAATTTGATATTCCTTTTGGCGTATCGATTTATTCATATAAAGACATATTTTAGATAGAAATATTGACAATAATTAAGTTAAATTACAGAAAAATTGCTTTTAAAAGCTTTGTTGTATCTCCATATTTAAAATATTTCAGAAATGCGAATTTATTTATGCCATTAAGGAAATGAAAATTTATTTATACTGTTCGTATTTGTTACTTAGAAATTCGCACGTAACTACAAGTCATCAGAAAGCTTAAACACTTAGTTTCATGTAAGAGGGAAAATTCGTTTGGACACATTTATTATCGTAAGATCGAGCGTCTGTCAGATGTGGAAAACAATTTGTCTCTGTTGTTTTATCCAATATTTTAAAAAGGAAAACAGTCTATTTTATATCAACTTAAATACTTTATAGAGAACCCGATGATATAATATATAATTTTTACAAAACTACTGTAAATGAAAAAAGTGTTTAATTAAGAAATAACTACGCAGCTTACTCATGGAGTATTTATGTTTTCACACTGTACTGTTTGTATATACACTTGTTCGTTAGCGGATCGCAAGTCGTAAACTCTAATTACCCGCAACTAATGGTACAGGATAATTACTTAAGTAAACCCAGCACTTCATTCTATGTTATACTTACATATATTTGTTTTAAATATGAATAAATCAATTAATTTTGTATTAGATAAAGTATGTTTTTAATGATTTAACTGGTGTTGATCGTCTTCATTCGGTTCCATTATGTCAAACAAACTTTTTATAATGCTGCTCTACTAAAGATTGTTAAGATAATAACGTTAAGCTTTTTGCCGCTCGTTCACTTTCAAAAATAATTAATGTTCTAATTAAAGATAGGATTCAGAACATATTGAGATGTTATTAATAGTCATAGTTGAAGTTTCATAACAATTTTGATCGTATTTTTTATACAGGATAAATTAAATGCAGTCATTTGTTTAATAACTTAAAATATAGATAAAGCTAGAGATTATTGTTTGTAAATATTTATAAAATATTAGAGTACAAGCTCGTTTTTTAACATAAATTATTAACTTCGGAAGTGCTTCAAGACAATTTGTCTCACTTTATCAAATACAAAGTTGTAAATTTTATTGCCTCCTGTAAAAAGTTAGTACTCATCTTTATCACCCCATTTTATCTTCTGAAGAGGTTCTATGGTTGTAAATGTGATATATTTTTTATTGCGTATATTGATCCTACATGTTGTCAGACCTTTTAGACTAATGAACAATTTCCATGACAATAATTTTAGCTGTTTCTTCTCGGTCGTAACAAGAGCGTATACTTTTTCTACTAACAGGATTCTTTTAATGAAAAGCTTTATACCTGATAATCGTCTCAAAATTTTCTTTTGCCTTTGCGTTTAAGATTTTTTTAGCATTTTTAGGCTCTCTCTTATTAATAAGAAATACTTTGGTTAATTTTGGATTTTTCCCAATGTGCGTATGAGCTAAAAATCTAAAAAGTTTTTTTTAATGTTTCATTAAATTACTTTTCTTTGCATCTTTATAGTTAAATCTGCTACTCCATTCCATTTCGGATTAAACAAGAAATAATAAACATTTAATTCAATTTTAACAATTGCTCGAGTCAAACGTTTAGAAGAAGTTTGTTTTAGTGTGGCTATTAAGTTTGTTAAGAACAATAAAATTTATACACTTTAAGATTAAATAAATTATTTTAAAATTTATTAAGTTTATTTATAAGAGCCTATGTATAGTTAGTGTAATGTAATCGCTTCATGTAAAAATTATCGCGAGATTTATATATTTCTTTATTTTAAATTCTTTACTTATCAAATAACTGACTCTTAATTTCCATTGATAAAAACTATAATAAAGTTGTTATATTTTGAAAGGGGCCTAGATTTCTAATCTCGGATTACTCAAATATGATTGATAGATTAATTTTTAAACGAGGTCATAATCTATCCTCAATAATTTAGTAGGAAGTATTAGGTAACTTTTATTATTAGGATAGTTGCTTTTTTATTGTTCCTTTGTTAATAATTAATTTTTCTCTTATACCATTAATTATTACACGTCTTCAGAATGATTAGACGAATTGAAAGTTGTCTAAACAAAAAGAAGAATGGACATGTAAAATTTTAAATAAGAGATAAACATAAAATATTTCTTGGGTAAAAAAACACATTGTTTGAAAACGTATTTAGAATATACTTATTTGAATTTCCAATTAAAACTTATAATTGAATGAATAACTCGAAATGAGATACAATATACATATTTTAATACATGACTTGGTTTATAGAAAGCTGGGGTCATACCGACGGTCACCGCTTCACGTATCCTGCCTCCCCGCTTCTGACGCAAGGCTCCGATGTGGCCCCCGAAGCGATGTGTCCCAAAAACACTGGGGATGGAGATGAGTGCGTCCACGTCAAAAACATCCCTTTACACTCAACCGTCGAGTTAATAATGTTTGATCAAGGTAAGATAAGCTTAAACATCTGACATAAGCTTAAACATATACAATGTCCTTTATACTTTTAAAATAATATTATTAGATTGAAAATACTTCGTAAATACGTGTGTAAATTTATTCATCTAATTTTTCTAACTGATGTATTGCTATAACTGGCGCAGAAATGTTATGTATAGAGAAGAAATGTTTTCAAAAATGGTAGTAATAAATCACAAATAAAGCCTCCGGTTTTAGATAAGCCTGATGGTTTTCTGTGCCCATGGGATTAGTTCCGGCCTACCATCAGATATCTTGGTTGTGATGTTATAAATCACACTGTGGATACATAGAATTTGATGGCGTTTTAGCCCCTCTAAATTTGTATAAAATGGCTTTATTTGGTTAAGTAATTAATATTAAAATTATGTTATATAAGAACAAATTTAACAATTCGTAACTCTATAAAGATGGAGCTATGATTGAAGTCGCATTGAGACTGAATAAATGTATACATATAAAATTTACAGTCTGTTTGTCATTTCTAACGTTTCGCAAAGGATTTCTATTGCAAAGGGCATACAGGTTGTAGTACATACTTGGGGATACAAACATAATGAGTTTGCACTTTCGTTGTATCCTACGTGTTTCTTTATTAAGCTTACACAAACTTTCCTTCTAAATCAAATATAGCTATTTCCAACACTTAAGCTGACGGAAGGTGCCTAAGTCAACATTCAGAAAGCCATGACACAAGGGAAATATTGAAACTATTGTGTAAACTTCCTGCGTAGTTTTAAATTAAAAAACAATCTCGTATTATATTCGCTTTAAATCAATGGGAAGATAAAAATAGATAATTTTGTCAATATCAAAGCAGATACCAAAGCAGAGGACGTAGTCACAAAATAAAAGTAATTATTAAAGCACGACCTCGTTTTATAATTTGGAAAGGTTACGTAAAATCTGCATGTTTTACCGGTTTTCACTCTTATTCCTTTTTGTTTCGTATGTTTGCGAATAAATTTGAATATTGCATCAGTGAATATTAAATATTGCAATGACAATACATTTACTTACTGGTGAATAAAAATGGAAATAATTTTATTGATTGTTTTTTTAGCTAGTTTTTTGGTTCTCCTTTAAATGCGTATCATTCGATTTATTTTATTACAATAGAGATATACTTTTGTTATTTCCATTTAATTTATTTGAATAATATTCTTGATTGCACATTATTATACTTATTAAGAAAAAAACCAAGTAAAATATATTGTATTTTGGTCAACTTGTTTTCCAATTAGTAGTTTATATTTAATCATTTTCATACACACACATGGACACATAAATACATACACTTATGTTCACTTACAGTAAATACATGTAAAGATATTCACATATGTATATTAAACGGAATTAAAAGCCGGAAATTTTAAACTGCAGAGAGTTCAAGTCAAGTTCAATAAAACTTAAAAGGCGAAAAGGTTTTAAAGTGAAGAAAACTTGAAGAGCTATCTGTATATCGCACATTATAAAAGAATCGTTGAGTTACTTTCCTTATTATTACTAACTAAGACTCTTCATATAGTAACTGATATAAATTACAACATAAATCATCAGTTCACAATCGTATTGGGACCCAAAAGTGAATCTAATGTCACTTCGAAAAAGATTCTCACAAAGACGTCCGGACATAAAGATCCCAGAACCTTATTTTAAAAATAAAAAGATGTAGCAAGTTTCAGTATAAGGAAGGAACTTTTTAAAAAATCTTCTCGCTTTGTAAGTTTTACATAAAAATGTCGTAAGTAACTGTAGAAAGGGATGTATTTTCTTCAAAATATGAAGATGTAGTGTCATTATCACATTACAGAAACACATACTAAAATAATAAGTTTTTTTTAAAATACCTAATATATATTATTTTATATGTAAACATTTTTATATGATTACTAAAAACACTTTTACCAATCAAAATTATATGATATAATGCGAGATAGGCTGCATAGACACTATAATTCTTATAATTTCTTATTGCTTCATGTGAAAGCAAAAGTAATGATGGAAATAAACTGAGACGCTGCATTCATGAAGCTATGTTGTGTCTTTTTAAGATTATTATTGCATCTTATATTACGAGAAGTTTAAAGAAATTAATTAAAAATTTGTTCGCGATTATTGAATTTATTGAAATATAAATTTCTTATATAAAAATATTTTCTGTTAAAGTAGACGTTCGATTGTAATACTCAGGTATTTATTTATCTTAATGAGTATCCTCTGAGGATAACGTGCAACAACCGGAAAAGTATGATTATGCTGTTTATATTTATAGTAACGTAACTATGATGAACTAAAAGTAACCCTCAAATAAATATAATTAGATTTTTACTACACAGCTATCTTAGTGACGATAAACGAAAATATTAGCCGGAGTACATTTCCGCGTTCTATCTTTCTACATCCATTTCTCTTTGCTTAAGGAGAATTTCGTTTCAATTTGGTTTCTTGTTTGTCTATAATTTCAACAACACTAAGATGAGTTCACTTACGAGTATGTTAGTTTTCATTTCATCAATTACCAGTCGATGTTACCATTTTTATAATGACAGGTAATTATACACATCAGTAGTCGAAATCGTTAACTTTCTCGAGATCTCCTTGCACGAGTTATATTAAAACGTACCCGCAGGTGTGGAAGTGTGAAAGGGATTTGATTTTGATAAGACCTGATTGATTAAGGCTAATTGAACAGTATTAGTGACGCTAATTACTGTTTGTTATAACTTGTTAGGCGATTAAAAGCAAATCAATGACTGAAAAAGTGTTTTGTTTGTGTCAAACGTTTAATAAACACGAATGTTTAAATATAAATGAGGTTTGCGCTTGTTAGATTCGAAACAATCAATGGCATGTATCGGTACAAGAATTACGTGACAAATCTCTGAGACTAAAAATAGATGTGTATCGATCTTTGTAATCTGGGAACATACGAGTACAATACCTTCGACAAATTACAAATGATTTGACGAAACTAGATATACAGTATATGAACTTAAAGATATCGTAATCACAACGAAGAAGTAGATAATTATACAACTGGGATTCTTTAATTCTTAAATTAAACTCACTCTCTTTGATAAAGATGGATGAATAATGTTTTCTAAATGCAAGAATATTCTAGAAAACTAACTAATAGTTGTAATTTAAGGATTACTTTGAAGTTATTGGTTCGTTAACTTAAATAATAATAGTACTGAAATCTGTAAGTAATATTTGCAGGTACGGTTGTATGTAAATGTGCAATTATTGATGAAATATGAGGAAATACTATTTAAAGAAATTTCAAGTTTTCATTTATTTTTATTTCTTATATCATATTATAATATTATTCAAAGGGCTATGTTTGGAAGCTTATTCACTAATATTTCAAACATCAAGAAAATTTATTCCTTTTTATATAAGACTCAATAGCATTTAAATAATTTTTACGTAATAAATCTCAAAGAGATATAAAGATATTTTTCTGAAAACTTAATAACATAAAAATGTATTGGAAATGAAATAAATTGCGAGAAGCAAAGTTATTTTTACAAATTTAAACATTGAAAACACTTGTTCATCTGTAGAGAAAATGAATAAAGTATTTTTAGAGTTTATAGAAATAAAATGTAGAACTATATTTTGCGAGCCATTTCAGAAATATACGTCGGTAACGTTTGTTGTGGTATTATGAAAAACATACAAAAATTTTATTTGACGGCGCATCCGTCAAAAATCATACGTCAGGTTGACTTTTAGCTGTCTGAGGTTAGCCTAGTGAAGCGTCATTGTGATGGTAGCGAGGGCGGCCATCTTTATTATGGAGTATCGTGCGAGATGACGCCCGCGCACCGCGCTCGTGACGAATCGCTGTGTATCGAAGTGATAGTGATATCTAGTGTTTCGATTGAGTTGGTGTCGTATTGAATAGACTGTACTTTATCCCTTTCAAAGTATGAGTTCCAATGAAGGCCCTCCTGTTCTTACAACGCCCTCCTACATCAGAAGTGGGATCGAAAGGGCTTTAAAATGAGGAGAGTAGTGATCATCCATCTATGTTAAACTTTGTAAAAAAATAATGAGAAACTTGTCGATGAAAATAATGTCAACTTCTCAACTAACTTCGACGACGTAGTTGATCCGGTTCAATCTGGATCGTACGGAAGCAGATATAAAAGTTAGGACATCTCGTCGCGTCTTGATCGTAAAAATACCGGTAATTGAAGCTCGCCCGTGAAGGAGATATCTGTGTGACCATAAGCCGAACCGAGGGGAGTTGACGACGTCATCTGGTGAGACTGTTCCTTTTCTTTTTAGTAGTGGGTGTACTTGTTCATGTAGTACTAATGTGTGTCTGTATCTGAAAATTTTTCAAATAAATTTCTGTGTACTTTGAGCAATGAAGTAGTTCCCCTGAAAGGCATCTGAACGCGTAGTATACGGTCGAAGCGAACGGGCGACGATATGAGTTTCACGCTTACCCACCACTTCGTAAGATTTTAATATTAGATCGTATTAGCGAATAAAGGTCATTCAACCTTGCGCTTCGGTACTGAATACTCTAGTCATACTTCGTGTACATTAACAGTCAATTATTATTAGTGTTTCTACGTCTATAGACTTATTGTAATACACAAATTTTAAGCCCGGTCATAATTCAAAATGTTTCAGTGTCTCTTTTGTTTCATATTATTAAAGAGAATATTATTTTTGAATCCGTGGTTGTTGGACGGGACCTTGTAGAGTAGGGAATTAAAGGAGAAATAAACAGTGACTACATTATTTTCTCAAAACCTGAAACGACAAAAACAGATAAGTGCTCAACCTCAGACAATCTTAACTTTTCTCGTATCAAAACTTATTTGGAAGGCGACGATAACAAAGCCCTTATCGATGTTTTTAAGAAGTATAACTCATTTTGTTATTAGGGGCACCTCTTAACTCTTTAGACCCTAATTCTTTAGACCCTAACATAGTCTAAGAGAGAC